GGGGTAACTAAATGCATAAGAACAGTGTCATTTCTAGGACCAATAAAATATGAAAATAGAACTAAGATAGATTAGATTAAAAGATATAATTAAAAATGGATAATAGGCCGGGCAGTGGTGGCGCACCTCTTTAATTCCAGCACTTGGGAGGCAGAGGCAGGCATATTTCTGAGTCCGAGGCTAGCCTGGTCTACAGAGTGAGTTCCAGGATAGCCAGGGCTACACAAAGAAACCGTCTCGAAAAAAATCAAAAAAAAAAAAAAAAAAAGGATACTAAAACAGAGGAGAGGGGAAGGAAGAGAAAGGAGACAGAGATCTAAAAACTAATAGTCAGATATTCACCTACCTCAATCTCTGGCCTAAACAAAGGCATCTGATTTCTAAAACAAGTGACAATGGCAAAGAGTTCATCATTTTTAAAAAAAAAAGAGTAAATAAATCTGTAAGTAAATCTTAAATGTTATGCAAACTAGAGTGACCTGAACTTGCCTAGTCTGGAAAAAACTACAATTCAATTAAATTCAAAGAAGTTAACTTCCAGCATCCTATTTTTCTTCATCTTGCAGGCAATCCAACACTTCCAGTTCATTTGTTGTTCATTTTTTTATTTTATGTGTAGGAAGTGTCTGTCTACATGTATTTATGTGCATCACATGTGTGCCTTGAAGGACAAGAGCATCAGATCCTCTAGAACTGGAATTACAACCATGAGCTGCCTTAGAAGTGCTGGGAACCAAGCCTGGGTCGCCTGCAAACATAAAAAGTGCTCTTAACTATGCAACCGTCTATCCAGTCCAAATTTACTTTTTTTTTAATACAAGATACTCAGTTAAAATTATATTATTATCTACTCCTTTTTCCTCCTTTTCCTTCTTTGAGACACAAATCTTTCTATTTTAAACCTTTTCTGGCCTGAAACTCACTATGTAAACCAATCTTGCCTCAAACCCAGAGATCTGTACATATATAGTGTTAAGATTACCACGCCAGGCAATATAATCTTTTTTAAATTTTATAGGAGAGAATCATAGCTATATAAATACATGAGCAACAAGTATATTCTGCTGAGTTGTAACGTGGATACTAAATCCTAACTACACCATGAGATCTGCAGATAAAGCATTACTCTAACAGAAGCAGAATCCTTTTCATCTGTTTAAAGCAATTTCGTAATTTTTTTGAAACAAGGTCATGAATATTCCAGGTTGGCCTCAAACTCAATATATATATATAGCTGTAGACAACCTTGAACTTCTAATGGTCCTGCCTCCAACTCCTGAGTGGACACGTGCCTGCTTTTATGTGGTGCTAGGGAATCAAACCTGGGCTACAGCCCCACTCCAGTTTCATAACTACTTACTCAGACTAGACTCACAACAACAAAACCTGGGAAAGCAGAGGTTTTCCTAATGTTATAGATAAGAAAACTAAAGCACAGAAAAGTTGAACACATTCTAAATGCCAGTTGATTACAGAGAGAATTACGATTCATAATATTATGGTTCCCCAGGAGGAGTATTACAACATGCAATAAGCTTTTGCTAAAAGATAAGAAGTGTTTTGGTATGGCAAGTAATCACTTTCTAGATATGTGCGTATATATACACATACACACACATGCATACAGTTTGATTTTCTAGATATGTGTGTATACATACACATACACACACATGCATACAGTTTGATTTTCTAGATATGTGTGTATACATACACATACACACACACACATGCATACAGTTTGATTTTCTAGATATGTGTGTATATATACATACACACACATGCATACAGTTTGATTTTCATTAACAGGTGCACTTAAGACAAAGCAATTGGAAGCTATAAATACTCAAGAAACCTAAACAACCACTGGAGTTTTCTCTTTTTTTTTTTTTGTTTTTTTTTTTGTTTTTGACACAACAAAGTTTCTCTGTGTAGCCCTGGCTGTTCTAGAACTCACTCTGTAGATCTGCCTGGCCTAGTACTCACAGATATTCGCCTGCCTCTGCCTCCAGCCTGCTAAAATTAAAGCCGATTCAACCACTGGACTGTAACAGAATGAGAAAGTAAGATTTTTCTCTAGTAACTTAGCTTTAGTTCTTCTGTAATTTTTATCCATATCTAAGTAAGTCAGAGCTTGAGCCCAGACAAAATATGAACTGGTTCATCCAATAAATTTATGTTAAATTTTAACATATTAAATGGAGAACATGGAGATACATTAAAACATTTCCCCAAACTATTAAAAGTTAAAGTATGCCAGGTGTGGTGGTACAAGCATCACCACATAAGGAGTTACACAGGAAGTTCCAGGCCAGCAGGTGCTACAGGCGTAAATGATCTCAAAACAAACAAAATTAGTTAAAACATCAGCTCTTCGTTTATCCATCAGATAGTCCTTGAGACTCAGAATCATCATCAGCTATTAATCAAGATACCCTGAATATATGAATGACTATGTGTAGGGCAGTTTTACAGCCCGGGCCTGTTGCTCTTTGTATACAGCTACACTCAGGCTCCATCATTCTCTCACCAGGGTGCACACAAGGAATGTAAATTTCAATACAATAGAATGTAATTAGGGTAGTAAGCAAATCTGATGCAAGTGAATATACTAATCCCAAAGATTAAAATTACCCATAACGCTACTCTCCAATGTTAACTCTCTTGAACTGGCACTGTGGCATATACAACCTGGCATTTCTTTGGCAAATACTTTTCATAAATATCACTTATTCCCATCCACTTCTTTACATGTCTATTCTTGGTCCTCACTAATTCTAAGAACGCAGTGTCCTTTCCGTTAAGGTTGCTTTCTCAAGTACTTTCTCAAATTCCGGTCGTCGTTGTCTCCCCCAAAAGAGGGGGGGTGCACTCTCCCACTTGGCACAAGAAAACACCAGTAACAAACGGCAGGAGGCAGAGGGGGCTGCTCTTTGCATCTGCACCACTACCAACCCTTCGCCATTATACCTCAAGTGGGCCAGTTAGAAAGGTGAACTAGTTTGCTCTTCACACACTTGTCCATCGCTGTCACCCTCCTTAACCCCTTCCACACTCGCCAAACATCCACCAACTCTCCCTCTAAGTGGGCCTAGGCGGGTCACCTGCGCCGGCCCCACCCGAAGCCCTCCATCCTCGCACCCCCTCCTCCTGTCCCGCAGGCATTGCACGCCCCCTCCCCACTGGACAGATACCTCGGACTAAGGTCCGCCCGCCTAAGGCCATTCTTCCTCCAAACTCCAGAAGCCTCACTCGTCTAGCCTGAACTCTCCGCCGCACCCGACTCGCCCCTGGGTGGGGGAGAGGAAAAGACGGGTGGCTTGGACGGGCCCTAACCCTGCGTACTCCGCGACGCCCCTGGCCCGGCCGATCCGAGGCTGGCGCCTTAGGAGCCCTCCGAAGCTCCTAGGCGAGCAGGGCCCGGAGGCCGGGGCTGCAGGCGCCGAGCCTACTCACCGGGAGCTGGCGGAGCGTGAGAGCCGGGGCGTCCCACGGCCGGACGACCAGGGCGCGGCCCCGGCGCGCGGCCCTCGCCCCGGCGAGCCTCGCTCGGCGCGGCGAGCTGGGCGCTCACTCCGGCCGCCGCCGCAGCTTCGCCACCTTAGCCGCCATCTTGCCTCAACCTCACTCCCTCCCCCTCAGGCCGGGCGGCCGCGCTAAGGCGGCTCCGACTCGAGCTCCTCCTCCTTCCGGAGGGTTGGGGAGACGACACCCTCCCCAGACGGAGTGCGGCTCTTACCTCGGCCTCGCTTCCTGGGTCGCGGCTGCCGCGCCGGTTCTTTTCAAGTTGTCCCTCACACTCAGGCCCGCCCCGGCAGCGCTGCCTCGGGCTGGACCCGCCGCGGCAGCCATCGCGCACTCGGCCTGGAGCGTCACCGCGAGCCTGCCACTCCCGCGCGCCTGGGGCCTTCCCCTCAGGCGTGGGAAAGGATAAGGCGCCTGGCGCGTGGCTAACCTTGCGACCCCTGCGCGCCGCCAAAGCGGCTGCACGGTCTTTGCGAAGAGAGAAACCCGAGCCCACGTGGCTGGGATGCACGTTAATTTCACACCGAGTGTTCATCGGAATGGCGGGCGAGGCCTCCTCCGCGGCGAGTCTCCTTAATCTCTATCTCTTAAGAGAATTTAGGGTCCTCCGGACCGCACTCTGGGCCTCACCCTTCTAGTGAAATGACGTTTCCTCTTAGCCGCTTACTTTTTCCTCTATCAAAGCCGCCATCTAAGAAAGAACAAACGGTGACCCGCTTCCGAAAACTTTTTTCCGGATAACGGGCTGTTTTATACGAAGTCTTGGAACATAAAAAATAGGGTTACAAAATGAGTTGAAGGGAGAATGTTGACGTTTTTAAACGCTTCCTTTTGGGCCGGCGTCTTGACAACGCCTGAAATTCCAGCTCAGGAGGCAAAGGAATGGGATTCATTGCAAATCGAAGGCCAGCATGGTCTCGATATGGTGAGTTCAGGGGTACACGCAGCGAGACACTATCTCAAGATAATTCTAAAATGCTTCCTTTTAAGCACACTGAACGGTAAGAAAGACACTAGACCGCAGAGTTCGGCTCAGCCCTGAAACTGGAGCAGGTAGAGGATTTCGCCTCAGATGAGACGGCGGAGTATGGGTGGAAGTTTCCACGTTGGACCACGAATCTTGGTCTCCAGCCTCTAAGCTCTTAACCACGGAACGCAGTTTCAGCCGGTTCAGTTTTCCCGCAGGGAGCCCGAGTCCACCCCCAGCCTTCCTTCCTGCGCAGGCGCAGTGCCACTTACCCGCATGGAAGTGGTGGGTCTCTTATGTGTGGCAGTGGCTGTCCTGACTTGGGGCTTCCTCCGGGTTTGGAACTCGGCGGAACGAATGAGGTCTCCGGACCAGGCGGGCCTGCCGGGAGCCGGAAGCCGGGCCCTTGTAGTGATCGCGCACCCGGACGATGAAGCCATGTTCTTTGCTCCCACGGTGCTAGGCTTGGCACGCCTGGAGCAGCAGGTGTCCCTGCTTTGCTTCTCCTCAGGTAGGAGACTGTAGGAGGGTCTCTGGGTTAGGGAGCTAACTGATCTCAGTTGACTTCTTCCCGAAAGGTTTTCTGTCGTACATAAGCTCCTTTCTCTGTGCTCGCTTGTCACAGGCTGGGGACAGAAACAGCCGGCTTCCCAGATAGGTTGGGGAACCCCGAGCTAATTCCACTCTTCCCTAGCCAAATCGAGGAGCAGAAAAGTGGCTGTTCATCATTGGTTCCGTTCAGTACCTTCACGTTCCTTTGGGAACTGCGACTGTACTGGATGTTTTGTTGTTTTAAGACAGTTTAACTGCAGCCTAGCTTCCCAGGCATGAGCCGCTGTGCTTGAGCTGTTATCCTGAGGAACTGTCTATTTGTAGAAGGATCAAATATAATCGTGCATCAAACAATCTGAGCTGTATGGTGTCTGCTCAACCCATCAAGTTTCTTTTCTAATAATAGCAAAAAAACAAAACCTTCCTGCTGCTTTGAAATCCATTTTCCGCTACAAAGATGCATATGTCAAATTGGGAGATTTATTTTAACTTCAGACAAAGTACATTTATAGATAATTTTAGAGTTCATCTGTGCCCAACTTTTATTAAAAGAATTCTTCAAAAATAAGACTTACATAATGATACAGACAGACAAAAACAAGAAAACCATGATACCTAAATATGGTAGTGACAGCACAACATGAAGTGGATACATACAGTGGGTGAATTGTATGGTATATCAAAGTATACCTCAATAAAGCTGATTTTTCAAAATTGCTCATGACCTCTTTTCCCATGTGGTTGTGTGTTGTTCCAGTTCTTCGTTTTTTAATAACAGATTTTTCACAGAAATCACATTCTTTTCCCTTAGCACCACTTTCTCTATTTACCTAATATATATCTATGCTAGACTTTATTCTAGATCACTGTCATCAGGATTGATTTATAAAATTGGCTGAATGTTTTTTAAACAGAGTTAATGCAGATTTCTTAAAGAAAAGTGAGAAAAAAACTGAGAGTGGAGAGACTCCAAACAAGGAAACAGTACCCTCTGTGTGTGTGTGTGTGTGTGTGTGTGTGTGTGTGTGTGTGTGTGTATGGGGGTTTTGCCTGTATGCATGTATGTGCAGCCCATGCATACCTGGTGTGCACAAAGACTGAAAGAGGACGTTGGATTCCCTGGAACAGGAGTTATACCCAGTTGTTGGCCAGTGACGGCCATTAGTCCCAGCATTCCAAAGGCAGGAAGATCTCTGAGTTCGAGGCCAGGCTGGTCTACAATGGGAGTTCCAGGACAGCCAGGGTACACAGAGAAACCCTGTCTGGTGGAGTCGGAGGGGAGAATGCAGAGAACTGAGTCTGGGTCCTCCAGAAGAGCAAGGAGTGCTCTAAACCTCGATTTCTCTTACCCCCTTGTCTTATGTTTTTTTACTATAATTATTAGAATTGAATTATATACAAATTTGTTTCAAGATTTGCATCAAAGCTGTATTTGTTTGCAAGATAGTATGGGTTCAGTATGTCCTTTAATATTAATATTTAATATTGTCTACATTATTTTCAATAAAACTTAAAAATTTGGGACAAGAAATCAATTGTCCTTTTTTCAGTTCTTAGGTTTGAGCCAAAGGTCTCAAACATGCTGGACACCCAGCCTCCCAAAATCCCTAATAGAAGATATAAGCATTCACTTAGTAATCAGTACTTTTACTGTTGTCTTTATTTCTTCTGAATCCGATTTGCCATTTTTAATTGATCGCTTGTGTAGTAAAAAGCAAGAAAATAGTAATGTTTAATATAGTAAGGGCTGGAGAGATGGCTCAGCCATTAAAGGCTAGGCTCACAACAAAAACAAACATATAGTATAGAGAACACTGAAGCCGTGGAGTGGAGAGAGTACAGTGAGCAGGCAGTAGAGAAGAGCATTGGTTCTCTTTTCAGAAGTTTTCCTTAAAGGCTCCAAATAGGTTTTCGTTTGATCTGAGCTTCAAGAAAAGAGGACTATATAGGGAGCAGAACTAATCCTTCTAGGCAGTTAAGTCTTGCCCTGTTCAAGTAGCTTATCCCAACTACATCCTCAGCTCAAGGGGAAGGGAGAAGCGAGAAAAAAGGGTTGTTCTGGTGGTGGTGACTCAGTTTTCCTCAGCCATCCTATGAGATGATACCATTTCCATTTCCCAAATAGACATTGAATCACCAAGAATTTAACAAAGAGCAAAGACCCTGTAGCTCCCAGTCGCTACAAACCATCACACGCAGGCTGCCCAGTTGCTCTATGTGCCATGTCAGTTGATGAAATATCTAAGTACATTTCAAGAAACGTTAGTTCATTCAACTGTTCTTTTCATCTCTTACATTCATGTGTGGGAGAGGAGCCTGCATGCCGTGAACACACCCGGTAGTCAGAAGACAACTTGCAGGAGTTGGTTGTCTCCTTCCACTCCATCAGTCACTGGAATTGAACTCAGGTCATCAACCTTGGCAGCAAGTGCCTTTACCCACTGAGCCATCTATCTGGCCCCAAGCCACTATTTAAGAAATTTTTAAAAATAGGTGAGCCGGAGAGATGCCTCAGCAGTTAAAGAGGCTTACTGTTCTTATAGAGGACCTATGTTTGCTTCCCAGCACAAACTTCAGGAGGCTTTTAACGGCCTACTTCAGATTCAACCCCTCCTGGTTTCTACATGCACCTGTACTCACATGCACATATTACCCCATGACACACACTAAACATATTTGAAAATAAAGTTAAATCTTAAAAAGTATGGGCGGGCAGTGGTGGCACATACCTTTAATCCCAGCACTTGGGAGGCAGAGGCAGGAGGATTTCTGAGTTTGAGGCCAGCCTTGTCTACAGAGTGAGTTCCAGGTCAGCTGGGACTACACAGAGAAACCCTGTCTCGAAAAACAAACAAATAAATAAATAAATAATAAAAAGTATGGTAGCATATCTTTAATGTCAGCACACGGGAGGCAGAGCAAGTAGATTTCTGAGTTCAAGGCCAGCCTGGTTGGAGAGAGTTCCAGGACAAAGGAGAGTTACACAGAGAAACCCTGTCTTGAAAAACAAAAGGGAGGAATAAAAACTGAAATCATGAAAGGCAACATTTCCCCTCTAAATTGTGCCACTAATTCATATGGGATTCTATACACTAACTTGTGCGTGTGTGTGTGTGTGTGTGTGTGTGTGCACGCGCGGTGCATATTCTCCATACTCTTCTTATATTCACTCTGAGATCCCTTTTATTTGTACAGTTGTTTTTCCTGAATATGACTATGTATCACTGTGTGTGAGGTGCCCATGAAGGCCAGAAAAGGGCATTGGCTCCCCTGGAGCTGGAGTTACAGACAATTGTGAGCTCTATGGATGCTGGGTACTGAACCCAGATCCTCTGGAAGAGTAGAGCCATCTTAACTACTTAGCCATCTCTCCAGCCCTGACATCTCTACTTTAAGTACTGTAACTTTTTTAAAAATGTGGTTTTTTTTGCCAGGCGGTGGTGGCCCACATTTTCAATCCCAGCACTTGGGAGACAGAGGCAGGTGAATCTTTGTGAGTTCATGGCCAGCATGGTCTATAGATGAGTTCCAGGACTGCTAAGGGTACACAATGAAAGTCAAAACCCTGTCTGAAAAAAACACCCCACTTATACATATATGTATATACATATACATACCTATCATTTTAAATATGTGTGTGTGTAATTTTCATATTTGTGATGAGGGTATACATATGTCATGCTATATGTGTGAAGGTCGAGGACAGCCTTGTAGTGTGATTCTCCCCTTCCACTTTTACATGGATTCCAGGATTCAAACAGGTTACCAGGTTCAGCAGCTTACTGCTAAGCCATCTCACCAGTCAAATTACTAAAACTTACAATGTGGTTACCCAATACGATCAAACCTCTGATTGTTCCTCTGGGCAGGCCTGCTTGTTTTGACCTTTTTTTTCCTTCTAAATACTTTTAGAATTTGGTTGGTCATTATTCAAGGGAAAACTTTACTGGCATTTTCCCCCGCATTGGAACTTCTCTGACTTGGTGTCAGAAGAGGACATATCAATTGCATAAAGCCTTTCTGGCTATTGTTTTATGATGTCTCATTTCTGTTGGCCTTCTTTCATATCTGTTAAGAGTCTTGTTTGGTTCTGGTTTCTGTGCTGGGATTGAGCCCAGATCATTGAGCATGTGAAACATGTACTCTACCACTGACACACACCCCAGTCCTTAAGTATTGCAGTGTTATCCAGACCAGCCTCAAACTTATGATTGTTCTGCTTTGGCTCCTGAGTCGCTGGGACTGTAGGCATAGACCACCATATCTAGCTGTTGTTGGTGTTACGGCTAAGGTCTCACACACATACCGAGACGGTGTTTATGCAGTTCTGTCCTTTAATCTGCTTCTCCTGCCTAGGGTTTCCTATCGCACATGTTACAATTTCTGTTATGCTCTCATCTTTGATGTCTTCAGTTAAATAGACCTCCAAATAATGTCTAATTTCAGTAGTCATATGTCTAATTCTGTTTGCTCTTACACCTTATTGTGGGTTTTTATATGTGTATTTTGTGATTTTTTTTCCTATATGTTATATGCACATGTGTTACCATATTTGTAGTAACAGATTAATGATTTGATTTTTCCAATATGTATTTTGTATGTGTGAGTGGGTGTTGTATATATACTTGCATGTGCTGCTGTGCACATGCAGAGGCCAGGAGAGGACATAGAGTATTCGTTTTTTTAACTCTGCCTCATTCCTTTTGAGATGAGGTCTCTCACTGAACTTAGAGCTAGACTGGCAGCTACCAAGTCTCTGTCTCCAACCCCTCCACAGCACAGGGTTACAGGTATAATAGCCACAGAGGTTTTGTGTGTGTGTGTTAGGGATTCAAACTCTGGGCCTTGGGCTTGAGCAGCAAGCACTCTTACCCACTGAGTCATCTCCCCATCCCTGATGACGATTTACCTTTGCCTCAACTAAAGCCTTTGCCTGCCCCAGATCACTCCAGATTTTTT